CTCCATATTTAGTGGTAAAGTACTCATAAAAAGCAAATAGTACTAAAAAGAGAAGTTAAATGTACCATAAAACAAATGAAAACAAAAAGATCAAAAAGAGAAAAGGTACGAAAAGAGTTAACTGGTATTCATAGTTAGGATTAAGCTAACTGGAAAACTCCAGAAATCAGCAGTCAGCTGATTTCTGGGAGCCAGCTGAAAAGTGAGTTTTTCAAATTAACTCACCCGAAATCCAATTCTCTCTTCTCTTGTCACAAAACACTTATACAAAAGACCAACTTGCAGACAAAAGAACAAATTGTTAAAAAGTAAATTTCTAAGAGATTTTTATCACATTATAAATTTCTTATAAATTTATTTTACAAAAGCAAGTGTTCGTTCGTTATAAGGTAGCATTGAAATATCACTCAGCTTTATACTAGTTTCTACGTAAGAAAATAAAAGATAAATTATCTTTTATCTTGCATTGAAATGTGTAATCAAGTTGAGCTGAAGATTGTTGATCTGTGTCACTACGTGACAAGAGATAACCATGCTGCCTCAGTCAAGTGTAACAAAGCAAGTAGATCAAGCTACGGTCAAGATTCAATTTCTCAGCCAACGGTGAAGATGAAGTGATCGAGTCTATAAATACAGGAGTGCGAGATTACCAAGTGTGGTCAACAACGAGGTGGTCGTTCACTCAAAGTGGTGAACAAGTGGAAAAATAAAGGAGCCAAGTGGATAGAAGGAAATCACACTCTACACGCTCAAATCCAGCCAACTGATTTCCCTTCTACACTTAGGCCGCCACCCCACTCGTCTAATGCTCTTAGACTAGTTACAATTCATACAAATCAATAGAGCTTAGACTAGTTGGTAGTTTAAATTTTACACCCATGTAATCTAGACTAGTGTTAGACATTCTGGAGGGCTTGGTGATCAAATCCAGAAGGTGAGAAAGGGCAAGGACATGAGTAACTCTTGGCGAGTCAATGCCATTAGTGAAAAACCTTGGGAGGACATGAGTAGCTTGGAACAGTATTTAAGTTCCTTGTGAAAAACCTCACAATCTACGCCTGGGCCAAGGGAAGATTGGGTACTAAATGTGATGGGATATACATTTAGTGAAAATCCATCTGAAATAGGTTGGGACTGGATGTAGGGGGATTCCACCACCCCTGAACCAGGATACACCGTGTGTCATCTTTACATTCTGCACCTAACACTTATTTCAGTTCTCACTCACCTTCATAACGGCACAAGTAAAACAGCTTGCTCACTTAAACTGTCCAGTGAACTTTCCCAGTTCACTGTGAGTCATCTCCTTGTTATCTGTTCTTCAAAGTGACCTATCTCCATTGGTCTAAATCCTTCATACTTTTGTGTAAGACAAGTTCTAAAGTCAGTTAAGTGGTTAGAGTGAAGTTCATTGCTATACTTTAACTAAACAAATAGAAAGACTATTTCGGCAGTTAGCTCCTAAGGATTGGCAGTCAGCTCCCAAAGCTTTCTGGCAGCCATCTCCTCCAGGTTTCGGCAGTCTGCTTCTAGAGTCATCTGTTTCTCGCCAACACACTTGCTCAATGTTTAATCCATCTCTCTCACAACTAAAAGGGTCATAACCTTTGTTCCTATAAAGTGTCATCCTCTTGAGGTCAAGACTTCCGTTGCATGTATCAATATCTCTCAAAAGATATTGAAACACATCCAGTTAAAGGAAAAGGGGATCAAAACCGAAAAGATTTTAAAAGTATATTCACCCCCCCCTCTAGACTTTTACCTCGCTTGGAACTCAGTTGGTATCAAGGGCACTCATCATTAACAATTACTCAACTTATCAAAACGTACTATAAAATACAGTTTTACCAATACTTGCATGTGCATACAGACAATATTTCTATGTAGACAAACAAATGACGTTGTCTGTACGACAAACATTTTATATACGGGTCCACCAACTATTAAACTATGTTTGAGTACACAGACAATGCACTTACAAGTTATCTGTTAGACATAAAACTCTTTTTATTTTAAAAACACACCAACAAATCAAGAAAAAAAATCACGAAAATTAAGGGAAAAACCAAGAAAATAAGACCTACTTAAGGCTTCAACGTCTGCGCCTTTGTCCTCGTCTTCCCTTGAGGTCGCATCCACTTCAACGGCAACAGACGTAGGACCGATGTCTGCAACTTCGTCACCTACCTCTTCCCATGTCAAGCTACCCAAGAGTAAGTCTTCACAAAACTCGGATGTTTCATTCTCGATGAACACCATTGAAGAAGATGAAAGGCGGACAAGATGAAGATGATGGAAATCATTCGACGTTTGCTGCTTCTGTTCACTGTAGCTAGCTCGCTTGGCCGGAAAAAATTGGTGGAGGAAGTTGAACGCATGGGAGGGGGGAGGAGATTCGATGTTAAAGGATCGGAGCAATGTTTGGAGGGGTAAAAATGAGAGGTTTTTATATGGAGTGCCAAAGGTGTACACATTTGTGTACAACTAGCATTTTTATTTGAATGTTTTTTCTCAAAATTTCAATATCCTTTTCCTTACTTATTTTATGAAAAAACAAAATACATTTTTTAACCCGGAAGGCAAACCCCAAAATTAGTGGGGCAAATGTCGGGGAACATTTGCCATATTTTATTAGAGAAAAGGGGGAAAAACGTACAATGAAGGGGGGGGGGGGGGGACTATGCGAATACTCCTTTCCAACAAATGAGGATAAAATAAAACAAAGCAAACTACATCGTGAAACTCAAAGCAAACATCATCTCACCGGTTTCGTTCCTCATGATAGCTCCACCCACAGCTCTCATAGGTGAGTAAGAAGCATCTACATTCAGTTTAAGATGTCCTCTAGGTTTAATCCATTTAGCTATCACAAACGTAGGAACGCGAGTCTTGAACAAACAAACTACATTGATACATACTTTCGTTCGTCCATAGCAAATAAATATTTTGTCCAAATGATTTATATAAAGAATCAAATTGAGCATTTATTGAATTGTTCAAACACGCGATGGAAAACTAATAAAAAATAAATGTATATGTATGCTCATTATAGTAGTGTCCTCCATATGTCCTCCATAACACATGCATGCAATTTAACTGTATTAGCATAATGTATATACTTGTAATCTAGTATTTCTTATGATAGAGACCTAAATAGTACTATCTTACTATCTAACACAATATAATTTTTTAAATGGGGTTTGTTAAGTTTGATGTACGAAACCTCATTGTAATATCTATATTTTGTGTATTAGTCCTTCTGATTCCTTTGTGATTTGAAAAATGCATCAAACTCTTTTTGTGTTATAACAACTCGTGCACATAACACCTTTTAGTAACCCAATTTCACAGTATTGACATCACTTATTCGAGTGTTATGGTTGCCATGCTCATAAATTTATCAAAATATCTAAACTATAATCTATTTGTCCCTTTTTAGTTAGTCATCTTTGACTTTTCGAGTTGATGATGCTAAACTTTGATTGAATATATTTATACATCAAAGTATTTATAATATGAAAATTATGAAAATATTCTTTGTTAAAAAGACTATCATAAGAGTATAAGTTTTATTAAGAGTTAATTATCAAAATAGGACTACAAGTCATTCACTTTGCACAAATAGGACAAAAAAATAAACTATGTTTCCATATGACTAATTATGTGTGTCTTGGACAAATATACCCTTACACCTATTGGAATGTTTTAATTCATAATAAAATAATAAAAAATAATAAAAATTCGTAAAATATACCAAAAAATTAATAAAAATGTTTTGAATAATAATAAATTAAAAACAAATAAAAAAATAAAAAATAAAAACAAATCAAATTATTTTTTTGTCACCGCCGCCTCTGCCGCCCCATCACCACCACCACCTCTAGTCATTTGGAAAAAAAATGCCAAATTTATTATGAATTCCATATTTTTGGCATAATTCAGAATGATTTAAGATGGCAGAAAAAAATGTTGGCATTGTCAAAGAGAAATATGTCATATTTTTGGCATTTTCCGAAAAAAATGGAAGTTTGTAGGAAATATGGCATTTTTTTAACGGTTAGAGGTAGTGGTGCAGGGAGGCGGTACCACCACCTCCTATCACCGGGGTAAAAAAATGCCAAAAAAATTATGAATGCCATATTTTTTTGGCAAAAGTCAAAAGGATTCAAGTTGGCAGAATGAAAATGTTGGCATTCTCATAGAGAAATATGCCATTTTTGTGGAATTTAAAAAAAAGTGGCATTTTTTACACCGATCGGAGGTGGTGGTTCAGGGAGGTAATACAGGCGGTGGGAAAGGTATCCATTTTATTTTAATTTTTTTATGGAGTTTTACTATTTTTTATTAATTTTCAAAAAAAAAATTCTTATTTTGTAATTTATAAAAATTTTATTAAATTTTTTATTATTTTTCTACGAATTATTGAATTTTTTTCGGATTTGTTAAGAACTAAACATTTAATTATGACTTTTAGCTATCTTTTACTAATATTTAAAGGAGGGGTAAGAATGGAAGGAAGAAATGAATATGTTTCCAATAGGACCACTATGGTCCTAATTTGGAATAAAAACATAACAAGTCTTATTTTGAATTTTTGCCATAGTTTTAATCCTATTTGAAATAATTTCTATTTTATAAATGTCTCAAAGTGCACATGTAATTATTCTTCCCGTATAGTACAAAAAACTAAGCATTTTACTTTACTTAATAGTTAAATGTAATCCTTGGCGCATACCGCGTCGGGGGTTTGTTGTTCATCATGGTCGCACCCTAAAGCACAAACACAACGAGATTGCATTGGTATTTTGGCACAAGTTTTCTTCCCAGGAGCTATGTGCATTAATAAGGATAATACAAAAAAAAAAACATTAGGGTTAATACGCATAATTTACACTAACGTGTATCGCAAGGGAGTTAAAAAATTAAACGCTTTTATGATGTAAAATCTAGCTCGGATCCATTAAAGTAAAAAACTAGGATAAGGGATTAGTAGTAATATAGTACGTATTAGTCTTATAATTTTAATCTCATAACTTTGTGTGGCGTCCGTTATTAGTCTTATAATTTTACAAGCCTGAAATATGATCTCATAACTAATAAATGTATTCAGTTTAACATCTTTTTCATTGGAAACTCCAGAAAATGGAAAAACAAATCGGAAAAGACGACACCAAAGTACTCCCTCCGTTCTTTAATATCAGTCCCCTTAGGCTTTGGCACGGGTTTTAAGAGTAAAGTAGTAGGGTAGTGTAAAAGGTGTAATGAGTAGTGGGTAAATGAAAAAGTAGGAAAGAGAAAGAGGTAATGGTAATAAAAGTGGGGGCATAAAGGTATATTTAAAGTAAAAACTTTCCTTAAATGGAAAGGAGGACAGATAAAAAAAAACGTCCCAAAAAGGAAAGAAGGACTAATAATAAAGAACGGAGGGAGTATAAAGTTATTAGTTACTCCGTACATGATAAAATTTGAAAGTAAGCAAAGTTACAAGACAAACAAAACTCCAAAAGTTGGGGTTTAGCTAGGGAATAAGATAGATGGGAGAAGGTGCCATTAAATAGCTAGCTTAACTTGTGGAATTGCTGAGCGGCGCGGCCCGCAGCAAGGAACGAAAGGGAGGATGAGAAAAGGTGCCATTGATAAGCTGATCTGCAACAGCATTGTACATTGCTTCGGTGAGATGAACGCCGTCCCAATTAATGTACTGAGAGGGGTCCGGGCAAGATGTTCCGGCAGTGGGAGAGCCGCAAGTGGCGAAAACGTCGAAGTTCAAGGCGGCGTCCCCAGAACCGCAACAGGCTCGGTAGGGCTGTGTGATGCCGTAGCGTTTGGCATTGGTGAGGATGGACTTGTAGGCATTCCAGTAGTCGGCGTACACAATGGTGGCCTGGGGGAAGCGTCGGCGGAGGATGTCGAGATTGGATTGGAGAATGGCGTTGTGGGCGTAGCTTTGGTTGTTGGAGGAGGCTACGCACCCCATGGCGTCTCTGTCGTCTGGCGGGGCCAAGTAGAGGGCTAGTGTTAAGCAGCCCGTGGTAGGCAGCCCTTGTACCACCATATTCTTTGCGCCCTTCTTCAGCATTGCCTGTATGAAGGTAGTAAGAGTCGAGACAGCAAGGCGCTGAATAGTTGTGGCAGGAACGTTTGATCCGAGGGTGTATGCATAATCGTTGGCCCCAATCTCACCAACCCAAAAAAGGGCGTCTTCAAAAACCGCCCCACACTGCTTTGGTGTTGATTTGTAGTCTCTGCACCCCACACTTTCCAAGTAGCTATTGAACCATGTCAGCTGCGTTTTCAGTGATTGAGGGGTAATGTCTAGGCTCAGGTTGTTCTCCACGAAGAACCTGCATATCGATCATCAGATACCTATATATAACTCACTCCTACCTACTTGTAATGTACTCTAATATGCATGAAATAATGTACTCTGATCTAGCTAGCCATATAATTAAACTCACATCCCAAAGGATACCTGCTCCTAGTACGTATCCATCTCAGATTTCATGTGCTTTTTATGGGGCTTTGTTTCACACATATACATCCTGATCAAATTTTGGAACTGATAATGAAGGTTAGTTGTTAGTGGTTATAGACCATGAAATCATGGCCGGCCAGGCGGCCAATATTATATAAACTGTTGTGTTTGCTCAGTAATTATTGCTATTGTAAATGTCACACTTTCATTCATGCATGGGCAATTTTAGAATCATTTTTTTTTTTTGCAAAACAGAAAATTTTATTCAAACAGCAAGTAAAAGTACCGCCGCTAATGAGAGAGAACCGTAAAAGTACTGCCCTTAATGAGAGATAGCTGCTAATGAGAAGCTAAAGTAAAAGGTAAAATAAAGAGGCGAATGAAAATAATTTTTTCATCTCTTCTTAGCCAATCTCAAACTGCTTCTTGGAATCTTTATACGGTTCCAAGAACGCTCCCCTGAGCGATTTAGTAGTTCTCGATCTGATAATTCAATTGAAAAACGCGTAACTTCAATTTCTTTTCCATATGAATCTGAATCTGGATTGACTTGAGTCTGATTAAGAAGCATCTTCATTCTGCAGAGATTTTTCTTGAGACAGAACTATATATATTTTCCAGAGTTGAATCCTTATCATCTTTTTCCATGAAAACGTTCAAATCTCTCTGAAATAAAGCCTCAGATAAAGAAACGTTATGGTCACAAGTGTAAACGTTCAAATCCCTGGGCCTGGGGTTAATTAATCTCAATTCCAACTGGCATTGAGTGTAAATAAATGCTCCTTCTGATCTTCCAAAGAAAAATACCTAAAATTTCTCAAAAGCACCCATGGAACTAGCTAATCTTACATAGCAGCTTCGATCAGAAAAAATGATTTTGAAGTTTCATACTTCCAAGAATGTGAAGAACGTCCCCTGTCAAATCTCATAAGCGATTCTTCTAACCAAATAGCATGCAGTTTCCGTTCCTAATAATATTTGAAGAGTCAATGATTGAGAATCAGAAGGTTTTACTTTCGATCTTAACAGAAATGAGTTCCCTGTGATCCCCCCTAAACATAATCTTTGTTAATTTGTGACCTGCTAAGTAAATTGGCGACCCTCCAATCCCATATGATGCAGATGACCTCTCGTTGCTGTAGACATCCCCACCCCGTCGCCTAGTCTGAGAATGCTTCGCCCATTCCTCCCCTGCTGAAACAGACTCGGCAGGACGGTGATGTCCAGACCTCCCAAGAGCCTTCTCCCTAAACACCAGCAACCGGTAGACCAAAAAATAATATCTCCCCATCAATATTTTCCAAGGTCAAATCTGATCCAGCCGCAAGCATAGTGTGAGAAGCGCCTGCATCTGCGAAGACTGAGCGTGCTTCTCCGCCGTTGCCCCAGCCCGCAGAACCCGTCGATCGTCGTCGCCTGAAGTTATCCCCCCCTTCCATGATTGTGAAATGGGTCGACGACGTTCGCGAGCTGTTCACAATTGCAGATCCGCCGCGAAATTACCGCTTAGGCAACCACCATCGGCGCGGTGAGTGGATCTGACCGGATGGAGGAGGACCCACATAAAGACATGACTTTGACATTCTGAATTTTTTCACATCTTTATTTATACTCCGTATTTCTTTAAATTTTAATGAGATAAGGGTCACATAGGGTCTCGAACTTGTAAAAAAATGTCAAATAAGGCCATATTTAGGATGCTCTGTCCGGCCGACGCCATTTGGGGTGGTTCCCGGTGGAATTTTTTTATGAAATTTTTTTAGAATCTTATTCATTAAGTCTAGTTTACTCATATCAAATTTGAACTAAAACTTTAATCGGAAAGACATTCAAATGAATTCTTGAAGATAACTGTACCGTTAAAAGCGCAATTATCTTCATGAATTCATTTGAATGCCTTCCCGATTGAATTGTTAGTTCAAATTTGATATGAGTAAACTAGACTTAATGAATAAGATTCTCAAAAAATTTCATCAAAAAATTCCACCGAGAACCACCCCAAATGGCGTCGGCCGGACAGAACATCCTAAATATGGCCTTATTTGACATTTTTTTTCAAGTTCGAGGCCCTATCTGACCCTTATCCCAATTTTAATATATTTTAGAGATTTTTAATAAAGATATTATTAAAAATCCAAAGTAAAGTTTGAAAAATCCAAAATATAACTTCCATGGTTTTATTCCTAAAATAGGACTAATTATTATCGTCTTTTGGTAGTATCAAACTTCAAACATGACATTATTTTCTAAACATGGCAACAATTACTCCTATTTTGGGAATATAAACATGACAGTCATATTTTGGAATTTTCAAACTTTTTTAATCCTATTTCGCGAACTTTCCCTTTTTAACATAAAAACCTGCTTTTATAGTTTTTTATGCACTTTTTCCACACATCTAACAACCTTCTAACAACCTTATAATTGTGAAAGAGGGTTAGTACCCCTTATTTATGTCAATACATGTTATGCATATGAAGTTGTACATTACTCTTAAAAAACGGTACCCTATTTCTTCATGTGACATCTTTACCCGTATATGACGTTAAACATTTAACTCCCTTTAACTCTTTAAGTTAATTAAAATGCTTAGAACCGCATAGTATCCCAGTATTCCCGTAGCTGAACCCACCTTCAGTCTGACGCTTCATGTCACTATGGAACATTAAATCCCCACCTTCTCTTCTTTCAAACCGAACATACATGAATTCATTGGCTACAAAATACAAATCCAGCGTTTGTCACCAGTTCAATCACAGTTGTTACACTTTATTAATGCTCTTGAGATCAAAACGGGTAACTGAGGTAAAATTTAAGACTCAACTCCAACTGTGTTTACTCGTATACTTTCATCGATAGTTGTTTGATTACTAACACACACAAAAATCTTCATTCCTGATTAAGCAATTATTGTTGGATAATTCCATTAATTACAGATTTGGTTATTATTTTATATCAACAGGGATATTATTTTGGTTATGCATTGGGATATCTATAGGACTCTATAGGACTTCAATTGGAACATTTTCCGTGGTGGTATTCTAATTTAATTCATTTGCAAAGGGATAAGGCAATCTGCTATGTACCACATATCCAAAAAAGACAATTTGTTACGGAGTATGACATAATCCCTATGTCCCACTATAATTGTCCCATTTTTCTTTTTCTGTCCATCTCTTTATAATTGTTCCATTTTTGCTTTTCTGTCTGTCCCACTGAATTTGTCTCATATCATATTTGATGATATTTGTGTAGTTCTAATTCATTCTTACTTTATTTACACTTTATCAATTCATTATTAACTCACAACTCTACTTTTTTTTAAAACCGCACCACACTACTTTGTTCCAATATTAGGGGACGGAGGTAGTATTCCATATATTTTTTATAAGTCTGAAATGAAGCCTCAGAAATGTGACAGCAACCATTTTCTCTTTACTTAAACTTCAAAATTCACCCCCCTACACACTTGTAACATAATTTAAGCTCTAACTACTAAGAGATAAACAATTGTCAGGCAAGATATAAAAGTTTGATCTCTTTGCTTGTAAAATGCTGGTTGTCGGAAATGTTTTTTAAACTTTGAAATTCCCTCAAACCATACACTACTACCATCTCTTTATCCACATAATTTCACACGTCAATAACATGATAACATGTATACTAGTGTTATCAGAAATGCTCAGGTCCATCCGGAGGGACGGGAGGCTCCGTCCGAACTTTACTATTTGGGGCGGTTCCCGGTAGAATTTTTTGATGAAATTTTTTGAGCATGTTCCTCATCAAGTCTAGTTTATCCATACCAAATTTCAGCTCAAAATTCGATCGGGAAGGCATTCAAATAATTTCTTGAAACTTACTGCACATTATATGTGCGCAGAATGTGCAGTATGTTTCAAGAATTTATTTGAATGCCTTCCCGATCGAATTTTGAGCTGAAATTTGGTATGGATAAACTAGACTTGATGAGGAACATGCTCAAAAAATTTAATTAAAAAGTTCCACCGGGAACCGCCCCAAACAGTAAAGTTCGGACGACACTTTCCGTCCCTCCGGATGGACCTGATCATTCCTCCTAGTGTTATATTCTATAATAAAAGCATACTATCACCACAATCATTTCATTTAGTAAAATAAAATACATAATCCACTGAATCACAAAGTTTTAGAAATATAATCGAATTTTCCACTCAATACTTGTGAAAATGTTATTTACAAAAAAAAAGTATAGGACAAATCCATAGGCGATTTAAAACCACCTCATAAATCTCTCATATGATAGTAGTCATTCTCTACAAAAAATATATTAATTTAATATTGGGCATAAGATCTCGCGCCTTGCACGATCAAACCCTAGTTATAATATATGTTCTCTTAGACATCAACATTTTTTATTGAGATAAGTTTTCAAACTTGTGACATTTTTCTTGGAAGTGTGCAATGATCTCATCAAACTACAAAGTGTTTGACACCTGCTCTTATAGATTAAAAATTGAATAAACACCCAAATTGATCCATTTTTTTAAAGTAAATATACTTATTCGATACTTTTTAATACAATGACTTAAGTGATGATTTGAAATAGTTAATAATAGAATACAACTTTTTTTTTTAAAATAATAATAGAATACAACTTATTTGACGTTTTTTTCTAAGTATGAAGGGACGGAGTATTTGTGTTACAACTATTTCAATTTTGAAAACAATCATATCCCCAAATGCACCTGACTTCGTCAAACTCGATCAAAAGTGAACTAAAACAATTCATGTGTGGCTCTCTTATATTCCTCCCTCCCTCCCCTAAAAGTTTGCTAGGTTTGACCGACACGTATTATAATGAAGTAAAAATTGTGTACTAGATATTTGTGAAGAAGAGAGAAATAATATGAGCCACAAATTGATTGATTTTAAGGGAAAGTAACAAAAGTTTTTGGGACAAAAAAAAGAAAGTTGACAAAGTTATAAGAGATGAAGGGAGTACATTATTACATGGCTATGAAGGGAGATAATTTTCCTTATTTGGAAATGGGTACAAGTTAAGAGGCCGTTTGGCGGCACTCTTTTTCGGCTTATCAACCAACTTTTTCACCAAACACGTAACTTTTGCTTCCGCGCACTGACTTGTGTAATAAGCAGAAAAAGTAAGGTTGAAGTTACTTTTCTGGCTGTATTGGCTAAAGTTACTGTAGATGATCATTTTAGCTATTTTTACATATAATTTTTTCTTTATTTTATTAATAAAATATATTTTGAAAAGATTTTTTTTAAATCAGCAGAATCAGCCAATTCAGCCACCCCGGCCAGAACTTCATAAATTTCAGCAAAATCAGCTAAAACAGCCGATTTTCGTGCTACCAAACGGGCTCTAAATTATTGTCAACATTTTTGGTTGATATTTCAAAAGATGCATTTCAATTTTATGACCTTCTATTTGGAAATCATGTATATATATATATACTACCTCCGTCCCTTAAAACTTTGTCGAGTTTAACAGGCATGGGGATTAAAAGCTTTGCCAAATTTAACTGTTACATGGATTAATAAAATAAAAAATGTGTGGTTGAGGTTTGTACAGAAGAGAGAATTAACTAGAACCACAAATTCTTTATTTAAAAGGAAAAGAGACAAAGTTAGTGAGACATCCAAAAAAAAACGTTGGCAACGTATTAAGGGACAAAGAGAGTATAAATTTCAATTTCCGAGCACATTTTTTTCTGCAAGTTGTCTATTCTCCATCTAGATCGGATGTGGCCATGCCCTAGTGTTTTCCTAGATGAAAAAAGATAGGGGTACACACTTTTTGTACACACAATTTGTACACTTGTCTGTCCCCCACAGACAAGTTGTCTGTCGCGAGATGAGTTGTCTGTGGGGGATAGACAACTCATCTCGCGACAGACAATTTGTCTGTGGGGGACAGACAAGTGTACAAATTGTGTGTACAAAAAGTGTGTACCCCTAGCTCCACCCTTCCTAGATTTGCAATCGATCCGTGTTTCTATTTTACTTCCCTTCTTTCTTTTGGTTTCTGAAGTCATTCTCATCTTCTAATCGATCTGCAATGATTCTCAATTTTTGTATTCTCGTTCTAATGATCTTCGTTCTAATGAGCTCTGGTTTTTTAAAAAAAATGTGAATTTTTGTTTAAAAAATGCCATAAAATGGCATTATTTCTCTCCAGAAATGTCATCTTTTACATTGAAAATGCCATTAATATGCCACTTTTGATATAAAGTGCTATTCTTGAAAAAAATGGCATTTTATCTGGTCATCTCCAATGGCAGTTCTGGGTAGGGGTGGGCGCGGTCCGGTCCGGTCCGGTCCAATATTTGGCCGAACCCGTACCCGTACCGTTACTATTCAAACGGTTCGGTTCGGTTCGGTCTTAGACCTAAACCCGTTCGGTACGGTTTCATTTTGAAACGGGGCGGTACCATGCCATACCAATACCAAACAATGCCACTTTTTCAAGTGCTTAAGAGGAAATTAAAGTTTATTCATCCTCCAAAAATCGACACAATTTATCAATTTTCATACTCATTTTATCCCAAATTGACATGCAAAGTCAATAATTTTTTTGTCAACCATGTTAAAGTTAAATTCTCTTTATTGATAATTGATTTATTTTTTAATAATTAAAATAAACATATTCAGAAACTACATTGAAATCTCTTCAAGGTTGCAAGCTCCAAATTAAATATAATTAAAAAGTGACATTCTAGTTAAGTGAACAAAATGAAACTGTTTGACCAAGAAAAGTTAATTTTGCAAATCCATTTGGGATGAATGTAGTATTTTACATGATTAATAAATTTCAGATAAATTATAGTAGTACAAATATAAATAATTAAACCATACATCGGTCCGATTCCAGGCTTCCTATGAATTAGCAAAGACGGTGAAAGTGTGAAGACAGTAGTCAAAGTAAGGGTATAAATGTAAATTTAAATCATTGAATCATACTTCGGTCCGGTCCGGTTCGGTCCGATACCGGTTCTCATTTTATGAGAACCGGTCATGGCATTGTTTAGAATCGGTACGGTTCGGGACAAAAAAATTGAGATCCGTTTCAAACCTCATTTTTCGGTCCGGTACCATATCGGTTCGGTTCGGTACCATGCCGGTTCGGTATTTTTGCCCGCCCCTAGTTCTGGGAAGGCGGCATAGGCAGAAGATGCTGCTTTTTTTTTCAGATTTTTTATACGTAAAAAACAGTATTTTTTTTATATTATACCGGAGTAATGTGATAAGGATAAATATGGAATAGAGAACATTAATTACTCCTACTTTGGGAAGATATATCTTTAAGTCCTATTCTTGCAATTTAGTTATTATTATTATTATTATTATTATTATTATTATTTACTCCTATTTGGGGGATAATCCCAAGATTTATTTTTCAGCAAAGAATTTTTTTTAAAGAGTCAAGTCCTTTCATTTTTAAATTACTCCGTATCTCTTTAAAAATTAAAAGCAAGTAATGAAACTCAAACGCCAGTCGTGGTTCTAAAAGGGATATAATTGTTTCCCATCTAGCAAAACGAAAAGTTCTTTTAAATGAACTTGTACACCATAAGAAAGTATTTTAAGAAAAAATCTTTGCTTGACATAAAACTCCATATGCATGAAGTACTTTAAGACCTAAAAGTCCCTATGATTAACTTTAAATAGAATCAAAGTGACTAAATAATAATTGCTGGTCAAATACCTTGTGATCTGGTTACGTACATTACTGTACTGTGACACTCCTAATGAGTGAGGTCACATGTTCGAATCTCATCCCAGTTCAAGAATATTAGCCTTAACATAGAACATATACTAACAGATTAGAAAGTTTTAACAAAAACATAAAATAACAATGGCTATGATAGTTATTATGCTTATATGGAATATAGTATATTAGTATATATACTCATTATGCAACTGAAAATGAGATAATATATAGATGTCTGTCGGCACTAATGTCACATGCCTCACAAAAAATCTTACCAAACTATACTATAGTAGTACGAAGTACTCCCTCCGTCCCATTTATATTGTCTCGTTTTACCTTTTCGGGAAGTCCCACTTAAATTGTCTCATACCATATTTGGCAAAGTTTGTGTGGCTCTAAATCCTTCTTACTTTATTCTTACTTTATCAATTAATATCAACCACACAAATCCACTTTTTTTAATAGCCGTGCCACCTTCTTACGGGACAATATAAATAGAAATAATCTTTAAATGTGTGAGATTTCAAAAGTAAACAAAGTGAGGTTTTGCTTTTAAGATTTGACAATTATTCTAAACAGTAAGTTGATTAAATTATGTGATCAATGTGATAAAAACCTGATTTTATTACTCTCCACTTATTGAAATGCTGGTTGATCCCGATTATTTCTTTACGTCTATCTTCTCTCGAATACTTAATCGTAAAGTATCTCCAATTCATCAAAGATAACTATTAACAACAAGACTAACTTGATAGTGACATTTAATTTCTTAAGTCATTGTTAAAAAATCTATTTAGATTGATAACCTCAACACATCAGTTTCTGTTCAATCAACACAATTAATTTCTCATTAGATTAGTAACCATGAGACTATGCATGAGTAACACAAAATTACTTAATTATGAAATAATCAATGATTAACCGCCAGTTCATTGATCGTTTTTAATATTAATTAAAGTTAAAGTGTTAATTAATCATCACTTAGCACACCCCAACATTAATATGAGTAGAGAATAATTAATACTCTAAAAGAAAAGTTCAGAACTTTTCTGAATATGTAACATTAACTTAAAGGTGGATACTAAAATGTGTATATACTTTCATAAATGGGTAGGTCGAAATTTCATAAATTAGATAGTCAATTTTGATATTAGCAAAGAGCAGAATTAGGGGATTTTGATAAATAAAAGATTGAAGCGGAGATGAGGCATATATAGGAACCTGTGGTCTATGGCAGTGGAGCCACCGACGGCGAAGTTGACACCGTAAGATCTGTCGGCGTTGGGGTTGAGGTAGGGCGGCAAGAAGGGGAGGGAGAGAGCTTGGGTGAGGAAGTCGATGACGAGGCGGCCGTCGGAGTATCGGTTGGTGGGGCGGTGGAAGAAGGTTCGGCCGTAGGGCGGGTTGGATACGTAAGTGAAGGAGCTGGGGCCGGTGGCGGAGTGGGTGTTTCCGGTGTCCGTGAAAGAGTCACCGAATGCATAAATCCTCTTGAATATTTTGGCAGCTGAGGATGGTTTTGCAGAAGAAGACAGTAATGTGAGGGTCAAGTACACGAATGTGCAGATCATCATTTTCGAATTCCTCTTGAAAGCCATCATTGATTTCTTCTTTTGCGTTCGATCTAGATCGAGTGATGAATTATATATATAGTCATGTTCGAATTTCTTTTATCACAAATTAAGTTCAACGTTTGATAAATAAATGCCAAGAAATACAGGATGCATCATGATTTCCTTTGCGGCATTAAATGCCATTTACTCGTTAAATTATTGAATCGGATGAAAATATGAATGCAGTATTAATTTTGAGAGAGAAATGCATATATGTTGGTGGCAGCACACTTTGGGCGGCGGGACATACAATTTGGACACCTAATTAATCTATATATGTATATAATATAATTCACAAACCGACACTTTTTTTTTACCAAATTAAGAGTTAATTAAAGAGCGATCAAGTTCACCATTAGTTGCAGTTGCAGCACAGTGCTTGGATCAAACATACTTATATATTTATATATACAAGATCTAATTACATACTACTATATTAACCATAATTTTTACATAAAAATAAAATCATTAAGAAAATAAAATAATTTATTTTCAACAAAGTTTTTTTTAAACTTTTGAATAACATAGTTATTCGGCTTCAAGTATGCATGAAGACCGAGGAAATAAAGAGGTAGAAGTGATTATGGTGAGTTTTGTACATTACAAGTAGAGCTTTTGTCAATTTAGAATTTTGATATACTAAATACGATTATATGTGTATATATATTAATATATTATTGGCCAAAATGAATTTTATATATTAATAATAGTTATCAGGTAATCTAGCACCCCCGTTACACCCTCTATTCCATTTATATTTTGAATTTGGTTCAATGTTTAATATAGTTTCCGTCCTGTGAGCTATGTGTGCAGTAATTGATAGAAGTGTTCTTGGGCATGAGCTAATAAGAAAAAATCTACCCTTGTTATTTTGTAGACCTTTGTTCCTTTGCCAAGTGAGAAAAAATGGATCGGTCCCTTAGTCCCTACCTTAGCAGTTTTCTTGTAATTTTTTTTTCGGAAATTGTCCTAGATAGGACTAAAAAGTTCCTAAAAAGCACAAATAGGACTACTATTTTTAAAATTCCCTAAATAGGACTAAACATTGATTTTCTACCCTAAATACCCCTAAGAGTATTAATTCATAATGAAATGCTTTAATTCATAATAAAATCACAAAAAACGTAAACAAATATTTAAAAAACGTAAAAAAATTAAAAAAAAATTATAAAACATTTATAAAATAAAAAATTTAATTTTTTATTTTTTTAATTTTTTTAAAAAAATAATAAAAAATAGTAAAAACCCATAAAAAATGAAAAAAATTATGGATACATTTCTCACCGCCTCCCGCCGCCTCCCAGCACCACCACCTTCGATTGGTGAAATTTCTTCCACTTTTGATAAAAAAATGCCATATTTTTCTGAAAATGCCAAAAAGATGGCATAATTACTCTTCAATATGCCAACATTTTCATTGATTATGCCATCATTATGGCATTATTTAAAATGTTGGCATATTTTTGTCCGGTGATGGGAGATGGTGGTGTTGGGGGTGGCAGGGGTGGTAATGTGTTTTTTTTTAATTTTATGATTTTTTTTATTTATTTTTTATTTTTTTAAAAAAAAATATTTTTTTTTATTTTTTTTAAAAAATATTTTTATTAATTTTCTATTATTTTTTTACGATTTTTAGTATTTTTTTCGATTTTTATTAATTTTTTCATGATTTTATTATTAATTAAAACATTTCACAAGTTACAAGGGTATATTTGTCCAAACACACATAAATAGTCCTATTAAGGGAATTTAAAAAATGTAGTCCTATTTGTGCAATTTTTCCACTTTTTAGTCCTATTTAGGGAATTCACTCTTTTTTTTTTTGCGAAGTCATTTTCTTCAATCGTCTGTGGTTTGGTCTGCTTCAATCGTCTGTGGCTCAGATTTGCCCATTAATGGATCAGCGAGTTATATTGCTTGTTCGAAGGGGATTAACTCCGAGTCTGGTTCGCGGGATGACGGTTGTATGTGGTTCCTTACTTTTTTTTATTCCCTTTCTGAATGCTAATGCTTTGATATCAATTTAATTAAGCCCCCTTCTTCCAAAAAAAAATATCTCATCCTCCTCTATAGATCCTACATTCTACGCTTTTACTCTCTAGGGATGAAAATTGTGACTGGTCTGATGAATACTCATACCAAACCGCTCCAGTCAAAATGGGGGGAAACTACGTACATTAACCGGGTAACGGGTACGCGTGAGACGGTGAATAGTTGTATTATTTTTATTGGTGGTGAGACGGTTATAGTTTTATACATGTTCGCCTCATTACTCACCTCGTTTACTCTCAGTTATGATTTGATTCAATTTCTTCCTATTATTTGTCCCACATCTTAAAAGAGAGTTTTAATTATCCCCACTTGAAATCTCTGAGAGGCTAGTGTTTGCCCCACTTGAAATATCTGAGAGGCTAGTTTCGTGTCATAGTTTTTATATGAAAGTACATCATAGTTTAAAAATATTCTTTTTTTTCTCGCAAAAAAAAAAAAGAATATTTTTATCTAATACTGCCGTATTTCATATGAAAGTTGGTTTAATTTCTAAAATGCAAAATCCCATACTTTTTGTTTTAATTTGCCATGATTTTTATCTCTAATGACATGTTTTTTGCATCTTGAAATGTCTTCATTTGTTATACGAAAATGTTAGTATTATTTTAACATGGCATTACATTATTCTCGATCCATCCGTCCCAGAGAGGTTCCTGATTCGGTTCACGATGTTTGACTAACGATAAAACAATTTGATTGATGTTCAGACTTTAATTATTTTTAGTATATAAAATTTATATATTAAAAAACTACGTTAAGTTTTTTACAAAGTTTGATCAAGAAAAATTAAGTTTGATAAAAATCTGATATATAAAGCAAAAGATTAAAAATGTTTTAAGTTAATCAAGTGAATAGCGGTTTGGACCTTTGAATGGTACGGAGGTAGGACATAACATAGCAATTGTGTTCCAAACGAGCAATGGACTCATCGGATGAGGGGGTCAGGGCGGAAATTAGGAACGATGTTGCCAAAGGAGGTGGGGGTCGTGAGAGGGGATGACGACGGAGTAGATGGAGGCAGCGGAGATGGTGGCGGCAGCGAGAAGTGTGGCGAATGAGGCAGTATGGCCGGTAGAACTGGTAAAATATATCGTACACCCGGTTGTACGGTCCTCACCGTACAACCGGGTATTTGTGCAATTACTAAGAAATCAAATGGCATTTAGTCGGTCTTCACCGTACAATCCCAGGCCCAAGCGTCCATTTTTAAATGAAAGAGGAGATCGGAATGTGCCTGAGCATCTGAGCTGCGCCTGGTTCCTGCGGCCACCACATGAAGGAGCTGGAACATCTGAGTTGCGCCTGATTCCTACGGCCATCATATGAAGGAGCAAAGCTGTAGCTTCGTCGGCTGAAAATGGTGGTCGCCGGCAGCAACGGCGGTTGACAGTTGCTCAATGGTCTCATGCAATTTTCTCACACAAGTTTACACAATCTATTCTTCTCCGTTGTGCTGCTCGCTGAGGTCCAGGGAAGGAGGCGCCGATGGATTGTCGTTGCTCGCTTGGTGGAGTCCCTGGGCGTCGATCTGCTCCTAGCTAGCTTGGTGGCCTCAATTCTCAAGCAACTCTAGTTCTATCCCAAGAGGACCAATTTGAACTTCTATTTTAAAATTGTACGCGTATTTTAATATTTTATTTTAATATTATGTCTTAATATTTTTCATCTTGTTAATTATTAACATAAATTTATGTTAAATTGAGTATAGTGTTAATAATGAGTATTTGAGCACGTTAGAATTTTCAAATGAGTAACACATATGAAAATCTGAGCATACTACAGATTTAAATAGCTTTTTGAATTTTTCTTTACTAATTTCGTAAGTTATATATGCTCATTTGATATTAGTGTAATGCTCATTTTAAAATGTCATATACATGCATATTTCAAAAGTATAATATTAGATTAGATCCACATATTGGACTCATTTTGTAAGTTACGTGTGCTCATTTGATACCGGCTTTTGTGCTAATTTTAAAATGTTATATGCTACATATTTAAAAAGTATCATACTATATTAGATTCACGTAAAAGTTGATTTAGATACGGGAGCACATATAATGATACTCAATTGCATGTTTATAATACTCAATAGTGAAGGTTTGATGATCAATGAAAATGTCTTGATGCTCATTTTGTAGGTTACATTTGCTCAATTGATACTCATTTTATGCTCATTTTCAAAATATCATATTAGTGCATATTTCAAAAGTATCATGTTACATTAAATTTGCATATTGAAGTTCATAGTAGTTGATTTCACATATAATTTTATAAGTTTTTATTAAAGAAAATTTAAGAAAAACAAAGTGAATTACAATATATGAAGTTGATATCACAATACTCATTATTGGACTCTTAATGCTCAGTAGAATACTTCCGATGCTCATTAAAAGTGTATGAATGCTCATATAACGAAAACTGCGATTTTCCCTGAAATTACGAAAATGCCACCGTTTTTTAGTTGTGATATCAGCTTTCTTGTAATAACACGGTGCTCATTATTAGACGCTTAATACTCATTAAAATTGGAAAATTGCTCATTAAAAGTACACAAATACTCATTTAGCTGAAGATACGATTTTTTGCTTAAATTACAAAAACGCCACCGAAAATAAAATGACCTATATTAGCTAATGGGTTGTCTTCTTCAACTGGGCTGGATGTACCTACATCCGGGTGTAGTATTTTATTATAGACAAATTAAAAGTGACTATATTTTTACTCCTACCGGATAAAGGGGTTTGTATTTCTGCACTTTTAAAAAACGGAGGACCATTCTAATAAAGATTTAGGATAGACGAATTTTTAGAGCATACGATGCAAGTAGTTGAGAGTTGAGAAATAGGATGCATTAAAACTGTCTTTGATAAAGTATGATGTATGATTGTACGAAGCACCTATGAAGTCCAAAATACTGCAGCAATAATTAATGCAAGGCCATTCCAATTCGACTATAAAAGTTTGAGAAATGGTCTTGAATAGGATTAAAAAAAAGTTGATGTAACCGAATAGGGCATACTTCTTTTTAA